AGGGGGGGGGAATTCTGCCCGGGGCGCCCATAACTCTGGTTACGCCACTGATTAGCAGGTTATTACAATGGCCAATATTTCTACAACAAATTTCTATATTGCCTCCTATTATAGCAAGCTTTACTGATGGGCCCTGAATGCACTAGTTCAAGTCTGTTAAGACTATACAGGCAGTCCCGGGTTACATTCAAGATAGGGACTTTAGGTTTGTACTTAAGTTGAATTTGTATGTAAGTCGGAACAGGTAAATTTTTTAAGTGTACCTGCAGCCAAAAAATTTTTTTTAGTTTTGGATAGCATAGGGAAGGGTCACGTTTGTTTTGCTGTCTGTTCCTGTTGTTCAGAAGATTATAATAATAATAATAATAAAGAGGTTTTATTTAAATGACACACCAAAAAAAGTTTTCTATTTTTAATTTTGTTTGCATTTTAAATTTTTATTTATGTAACTTTTTTTTTGTCTTTATTTTATTTTCTGCCTGAAGTAGCCACAGCTCGAGTAGAAAAGCCTGCACCACCGGCTCTTTGTGGGGAAGCAGTGATCTCGGCAGAGGTCCAACACAACCTACTGATTAAGACCTATACCTCAGTTTCCCTACGGAGTACAAAAGTTTCCCTCTGCAGCATGCCGACAGGGGACAGACTAAATCAGCTGCTCGCCAGGTATTCCCTGGTCTGCTGCTGCATATAAACAGCAACCAGGATGCGTTTTGCGATGTCCTTCATCTTATATGGCCCCAGAGCCATATTAAGTAAATGTAATTTACCAATTATAGGCATGTATACATATAAGGTCAATGACATCCCTGCACCCTGCTCCTTTGCTTATGTCAAGCTGCGGGTGGGGATATCCCTGCTCACAACTGATTGGTAGACATGGAAGGAGCTTCCTTTTGTTTTTGGGAGGAGATCCTGCTGGGTTCAGAGGTCTGAACCTGAGCTCACCCCTAGTTACTATATGTTGTGTAAAACACCATTTCTTTATTCTGTTATAAATAAGAACCCATGAGGATCTAAGAGAAGGTTGCTATGTGACTGGCTGGTCAACACAGTTCGGTATAAATTATGCTGTACAGTACTGACCCATAACCAACATGCAGCCAGTGTAGTCTCAGCACTCCCAATATGCCAGTGCTTGTTTCAGTTTAACTATTCATCACGTAGTGAAGAAAGGTTATAGACAACAGCATCAAGTTTGTACCTTCTAAAACAAGTCAATAGTGGAAACTCCCATATTTCTGTAACTACCGAACTACTTTAAAAGTGACGAATATTAAAGTAGTAATAAAAGGTGCTAGCAGGAAGAATAGGCACCACATACCCGCAGGAGTTTCCACTGCCCCCTCTATGCCCATATGCCAGGCCATTCTAAACAGACAAATCCTCACAAATGTCTGGTAGTGACAGCTTCAGTGGCTTGTCCACCACAACCCACACTTTCTTAATGGTCAGCCCATCACAACGATGGACCAGTAGAAATATACAGTATGCAAGCAGAAGAGTGGGCAAGCTTCAACACTGCCAGAACAGCCAAATTTGTCTGGGATTCAGTGGGGCATGATACCTGCTGCAGGTATGTACAGACAGCACTACATGCCTGCACTTTATACCAGCTTGAAATGTTCTTTTTGGTAAAGTGACAGAGCCAGGTTCACTCAGTTTAAAAAAAATACTATTACTATTTACTTATGTTTAAAAAAAATACAATTACTATTTACTTATGTTTATATTATCAGTGTATTCTATAAAATTGTTTTTTAGGAATCAGTAGCCTGCCGAGTATTTCATTTCTACTCCAGCCAAGCTTCCTTCCACATGCATCACACACTGGGGTACAACCAATATCACTGCATCTTATTTCATTTCTACTCCAGCCAAGCTTCCTTCCACATGCACTCACACACTGGGGTACAACCAATATCACTGCATCTTATTTCATTTCTACTCCTGCCAAGCTTCCTTCCACATGCACTCACACACTAGGGTACAACTAATACCACTGCGTCTTTCAGTCCAAAGTAAAATGAATACATTTAAAGTAGTTTGTATAGGCAACACTTCCATTTTTTCTTTTGATAAATCAATCCATCGTCAATTAGGCCAATTTAGACAAAAGAAAGTCCACCGACCATTATGCATTTATGGAGCATAAAATAAAAAACCCAATAGTCATAGCAGTCAAATCATCTTTTTATTCAGCTATTCAAAATATAGTTACAGGCATGGTGTCCTGTTTACAGAAAAGGGAACAAAACTGCAGTTATCGATATCAAAAAATGTCAATCAGGTTGTTAGGATGATTATTGTATATTTCCCAATAAATAAAAACTGCACAGTTTTAAAACAGCATGACCTAGGAAGGTTTATTAGCCAATAGATCGACAATATTGTGCTAGGTAGTTTGTGTAGCCTGAATCTTTCTATGCTGCCAACATTGGGAAGATTGTGTGTGTGTGTACATATATATATATATATAAATGTGCATATGTATAATATATATATATATATATATATACACACACACATACATACATGCATGCATGCATACACACACACACACACACATATACATACACTACAAGACAAGACAATAAAAGCCATTTAAAAACATTAAGCTTTCTAAGACAAAGGTTTGAAAAAACAAAATGTTCAGCATATTCATTTAGTATATATTAATAAAAGCTTTGCAGCAAAGGCTACTAGATATAGTTCTCTGAGATGATTCCATCCCTTCTCAAGTCTGTATAAACATGTTAAATAAAATGGCAAAATATGTGACTTTCCATAAAATATGAAGTCACTCAGTCATAAAAATTTCAAGAAAGATCAATATACATATCTCTATGAATATAAAACGACTTTTGTTAAAGTATACACTTTTTGTTTAGATTTAATCTGAAATAGGCAACTATTTAGCATCTAGATCATGACAACTTGCAGACCGCCAGCTACTGAAGTCCCAGCTTGTCCACTTTACCCACCTAGCTTGGTCCTCCTGGTCATAGGGGGTGCAAAAACCAACAATAGAGACACATAACTATAGTGAGTGGCAATGTCAACATTGAGTGATACTTAGATGACTAATGTATATGCCAAAAATACTTAGATACCTCCAAGGTGCATTCAGTGGTCACGGAATAGTCATTGAGTATTGGCACCTTTGTTCACGATAGAAAGCATATTTGTGCATGGAGGTACATAACATGCTATGTGGAAAGGGGTTGATGCATGTGGAATGTTCGAGAACATTCATAATCTTATCTTCATGCAGCCAGAGATAGTGTTTGATAAATGTACTTCCTTTTCCTGCATAAATTACTATTAAAAAAACTTAAATGTCCTTTAGAAGAATAGGTTTAACTAATTCAGTATTCCTAGTTTTAAATAACTAATTCTATAGATTGGTATCACTTAAAATCCTATTTTATATTCTTTCCTGAGAAACAAATGTAATATTAGACTGTGATGCTGGGTCCAACATTTTAAACCGCTCCATTATATTACATACTTTAAAAAAACCTAAATGTTATGCAAGAAAGTAAGGAATGCATTGAAGGTAAACCCCAAAAAAATGCACCAGTTCAGCTTTCAGAAAACAAAGAAAATTGCCTGGAGTTAAATTCCAGTTTGGCAACATTTTCATAGAACACAGACGCTAGTAGACAAGGTACAGGTAGCCAAAGGGAAATCCTCTTAGCTAGGTATATTCCATTACAGGGCATCACTGTTCTGTAATAGTGCAATCATCATTGTGTTGAAAAGGAACATAAATAAAATAAATCTGGCTTAATAGTTTTAAAAACTAATCATAAATGACTATATGGCCAACACCATTAAAACCACTGGCTGATGTTAACAGTAGCACAGACCTGTGGAAGCATAGACTAAATAGAAAAAGTAGATTATCTATAAATACGCTACTGCATATGGATACCTTAGGTATAAAATATCTGTGTCTAGAACATTACAGCC